GATTTAGCCGAAAGCCCACCTCGGTCAGAGTTACAACAAACAACCCGACGTGGAGCAAGCCTGCTCTAGCCTCGCATATTACCTCCTGTCGTCTGTTGTGATGTTGTGCCCTTGTTTGTTTCTCTTGGCACCTTGGAGTGCTGGGGGGGGCGAGTGTGTGTGTGTGTGTGTGCGGCGCAGCCAGTGCCGTGGCGATGCCTCCGGCTGTTTGCGGCGGGCGGCTTGCTGCTCGCTGCATGGCGAAAACTCGTCTCGCCACACGCCAAGGGCTTATGCTCTGGCGAGACGTGAGGCGCATGCGCCCAGGCCACGCGGATGCACCTGCGAGACGCGCGCGCACGCAACGGGTCAGGCGGGGAGCGCGCGTGGGGTCGGGGTCGGGTGCGGCGCGCGGGTGGGGTCAGCGGGTCAGCGATTCTTGGGTGGCGGAGTCGCCACACCCGAACGCTCAGTTTTTGCAGCACGGCTTAGAGCTCCACCCCGGCTTGTGGGCGCAGCAGTCGGGATCGCACTTCCCGTTCGGGAGCTTGTAGCCTCTCTTTTTGATCTTGACGTCGCGCCTTTTCTCCACACATTTGCCACATTTGTCGTCGCACCCGGACCAAAAGGACCAAAATGAGCAACCCCAAGAGCAACCGCAGCTGGAGTCCCCAGGCTCGCAGTATTTAACGCAGTATTCGTTGTAGGCAAAGTCTTCGGTGCAGCAGCTGAGGTCGGAGCAACTCCTGGCCTGCCAGAAACCATTTGGATGTGCTTTTGGGTCAGGGCAGGTCCAGTGGCACGTCTCGTAGAGGTACCAGCCAAACAGGCCCAGGAGCATGCCCATCTCCCTCACGCACGCCCACAGCCCTAACAGTTATCAGACTCGTTGCAGATGCTGCGCACGATTTGCAGCAGTAGTACTTCCGCACATTCTCAATCTCGCAACCGCCCTCTTCCGCAATGCGCTTGCAGGTGTTGAGGTTCTTCCCGTTGTACGTGGTGTTCACTGCGCGGCCGTTCACCTCGGTCGGAACCGGGTGGTCGACGCACCACGACGGGTTCGCCCCGCCGATATTGGCAAAGGCCGAGACAGAGCCAAGCGTCGAGATGAGGATGAACTCGCGCATTGAGCGTGTTGGCCTGTCTGCGCCTGTCTGCGCTGCGCCTGCCTGCGCTGCGCCTGTCTGCGCGCGTGGTCTACGCTCAACAGGGGTGCAACTGAGAGGCTGCAACTAAGGGATGAAACAGCTTTGCAACTGCTGCCCAGGTTTTGTTGATGGGCTGCAACTGCATCCTGCCACCTTGGACACCTTGACACCTTAGACGCAAAACCCCTTGACAACACTCGACACCCGCTCGACACGCTCGACACGCTCGACACGCTCGACACCCCTCGACACCCCTCGACACGGACAAGCATGGTTTCAGCCTTGACAGGCCTCGACAGGCCTCGACAGGCCTCGGCACCTCTATCCCTCGACAGCAGCTCGACACCCTCGACACCGGGCCTCGGTCTAGGGTACGCCCATCCCGGAGTGGTTCGACCCCACACAAACCCGAGACGGTGATGGGAGGCGTCGTACGGTGATCTCAGGCCCAGTGAGGTAGTGCATCTGACTACCCCGGATCCTGCTGAACAAGCTCCTCTTGTAGCTCGATCGGTCACACCGCCATCGCCGACGGGGAGAGGGGGGACGACACTGCTTCGGCAGCGTGCACCTCGATCCTGTACCGTGTTTGTTATGACCCCCCCCAATGAACACACCAGTGAGGGAGGGCGAGACGATCGAGGGGTCCCGTACCATGCGGAATCGACCCTATCCAGTGCTCAAGTGCTCAAGGGTACGATACTTCCGGGCCGGTGTGCGGGGAGCGAACCTTAACGACCGCCCAGAAGCTTTCTGAGCAAACCAATCGGGCCAGGATCATCAGCATATGTCCCCTCCACAACATCGTGGGCGTTTGAGCGGCATTTGAGGAGCCCCCGACTTTAAAGTTCGGCCGGGTGGTTTGAAGACCCCCCCCCCCCCCCCCCGGAGCAGCAGAGGCTCCGTGGGGTCGAAAAGTCGACGCTGGGAGTCGCACTCGTCAAGCCATCGCAGCACCACGCAGTCCGCACGTACCGCCCACATCCCCTCCACCGCTGAGAAGGCGCAGATCGACCGCCGGGCCGCGTAGTCGTCGTTAAGGAGCGGTTTTGGGAGCGCGCCGACTAAATTATTCCGGCGTTACGTTTTTCGCGGGGGCACAAAGTCGAGAGAGATCGCCAGTGCGCAGTGGAATAGGGAGTCCACCGTGCTGCGAGCCTGTCGCTGTCCCTTTTGTCAGTAGCAGGAGAACTAGGTGGGGACCCTGTCCTTCTCCCACCCCTTGTTTGGTGTGTCCGTTTTATTTATTTATTTATTGGCACAAATGTTTCGAGAGGCGTGGGCAGGTACGCCAAGCTGTTTTGCGCGCGGAGCGCGCGAAAATTTTCCGCCCATAATGCCTTCTTAATGGGGGGGGGGTAGGGGGGTGGGAGGGATGAGATGGGTGGCCGCGGCGCGGCTTTTTGGCCGCGCCGCGGCCGCCGCGGCGCAGAGCTACGTCTGCGCCGCGGTGGCACAGCACCCCAACCACACTACCGAGGTGCGCACTGTCAAACCTGGCAGCGAGACAGGCGCATACCCCGGACAGTGAGCATCAAGGGGCGTCTGGGGTACCCAGGCTCCGGGCCGGTGTGCGGGGAGCGAACCTTAACGATCGCCCAGAAGCTTTCTGAGCGAACCAATCGGGCCGGGATCATCAGCATATGTCCCCTCCACAACATCGTGGGCGTTTGAGCCGTATTTGAGGAGCACCGCCACTCTGAAGTTCGGCCGGGTGGTCTGCAGACCCCCCCCCCGGGAGCAGCAGAGGCTCTGTGGGGTCGCAGAGTCGACGCTGGGAGTCGCACTCGTCAAACCATCGCAGCACCACGCGGTCCGCACGTACCGCCCACATCCGCTCCACCGCTGAGAAGGCGCAGATCGACCGCCGGGCCGCGTAGTCGTCGTTAAGGAGCGGTTTTTGGAGCCGTACGAAGAGGTCCCAGACGGGCGAACATGCGGTTTTTCGATGACCACACGCGATGTGGTATCTGGTTTTTGCTAAAAACAGGCCGCCTAGTGCAGCATCACTAGTAAAACACGCAACCACACTGAAAGCTCCACATTAGCCGGTATAGGCGAGCGCCGACGGCGTCACGGTCGCCGGAGTGGACGCACTGCACACACACTGTGACCGTGTCGTGGGTGTGACAGTGAGCGACACAATCGTCGGCGCCGCGCTATCGCGGCGCCCCGCAGTCTATACACCGCAGGCGCACCCCTGAACGCGCCATGAGCGCGCAGGCACATAGCAGCGCCGCGCCAAAAGGCCATTCCCTCGCCCGACCCGCGGCTCCACCGCGGCTGCAGCGGTCCGTTCACCTGCACAGGGCAAAAACGTGTAGCTTAACAGACGACTTGTGATGATCAGTGCTGGCGGAGGCCTCATCGCCGCGAATGCTGCCAGTCGCAGCGGGATCTGACGTCGCATTTGAGGTGTGCATTGGCGGAGGGGTCGCATGGCTGAGAGAGGCAGAGGCAGCAGGCGGGTGGTGGGGCGGCACCTGTTGCTGCCATGGGCAGCGCCGAGCCGCGGCGGAGTCGCTCCAAAGGTCCGCATTGAGCCGCACGAGTGCGCCGACCCGTCGCGAGGTGCCTGCGCGGGAGTGATGTCGCGCCGATGGCTGAGTACGCGGTGTGTGAGCGGCTTTGCGCGCCGAGAGGCGGCGCGAGAAGACGAGCGGGCGGGCGCGCCGGTGGTCGGGCACCGCGCGCTGCGGCTGCAGCGAGCCGGCGGCTGGCGCGGCGAAGGCGGGCAGGGTCGCGGGTGGCGCCACCGACTCGAGGTGGGGTCCTGAGGTGGCTTCAGCCTGGTCCGCTCGAGCGGCACGCCCGCCGCGCCCGCAAACAGCCACCTGTGGGCGGTCACCGGGGTGGCGCCAAGCCTCAGGACACGAGATATGGGAAGGGCATGGGGTCGCGCGGGCCCTGTCTGCAGCAGCAGTGCTAACTAGAACGACAAAATTCCGGATGGACCGGAGAGTGCCGGCGCGATCTACGCACCGTGCTCGACCCCGCCGAAAAGCTGGCTGGTGGTCGCGCGCGGCGCGTCGGCCGGCTCCGACTGGGCGGGCACCTCGGCTCGGTCCATCAGCACGAGGCCTGCCCCGTCGGGCAGCCTCGTGAGCTCATGATGCCCCACCGAGAGGCGCTGACGCCCCGCCGAGATCGGCGCTGTGTTGGTAGGAAAAGACGTGGCGCCAAGGGGGGGGTGGAGCCTCGGTACCCTAGAGGCGCCGCCGACACGACCACTGGTCGTGCCGCTGCCGGGCAGGGCTGTGGGCGCCTAGTCGGCGGAACGCGGGCTCAGGCGGTGGGTGCGCTCGGCCGATGTGCGCCGCCGCCGCAGTGTCCTCCAGCACGCCTCCAGCATGGCCTCGCTGCCACTCCGGCGGGTCCGTTACCGTATTGCGGCAACTCCCCCCCCCCAGCTTCTCCTCCCGGGTATTCCAGCCTCCGGCGGGGCGGTTCCGGATCCCCCAGGCTATTCCGAGCGGGTCCATACGGTGGCGGCCCCGCCGGCGGCGGGGGTGGAGGCGGTGGCAGGGGCGGCGGGTACTGTGGCGGCCCTCGCGGCCAGAACGCCTGGTGTGGAGCCACTGGGGCGGCCCCACGACCCTGCCACTGTTCCAGCGGCGGGGGCGGAAGAGGAAAGTGGCAGTGTGGGTGGCGGACACGATGGCGGCACTGGCGGCCGCACCGCCTGGTGTGGAACCTCAGGGGCGGCCCCTCGACCCAGCGGTCGCTCCAGCTGCGGAGGCGGAGGCGGTGGTGGGGGGGGCTCACCCCATCCCCAGGGCCTCCAGGGCTCGCACCTCAACCTCTCACAGACCAGCGCACAGCGCCAGGACGTATTTTCTTGTCAATAACAAGCTGTGAACTATCCGCCGTATGGCCGAGCAGCCCACTGCCACGCTCCGTCGGGAGCTCGCCGAGCTGGACGATCGCCGCAAGGCGATGGAGGCGGAGATGGAAGGCATCAGCGAGGCGCTGCGCGCCAGCAACATGGGCGGCGTCGCCGGCGCTCTCGTCGACCGCGACGGCTTTCCACGTGCAGATGTCGACGTGCACGCGACGCGGACGCTGAGGCACCGGCTCGCCTGCCTCAACACGGACCACAAGGCGCTCATGCAGCAGCTCGAGGCCAAGCTCCACGCGATGCACGCCGCGCTCGCGGCCGGCGCGCCGCCGCCGCCGCCGCCCGCGGCTCGCCCGCCGCCGCGCACCGCCAGTGTCCAGTCGGCGGCTGCCAATGGCGTCGCCAACGGCGTCGCCAACGGCGTCGCCAACGGCGTCGCCAACGGCTGCAACGGAGCCGCCAATGATGGCGTCGCCAACGGCGCCGCGAGCGCGCCGCCGCCCTTTGCGCGCGTCGGCTCTGTGGCCCCTGGCGGGCCGGCGGCCGCTGCGGGGCTACGGCCCGCGGACCGGCTACTGCGGTTCGGGCACGTGGACGCGTCGAACCACGACGGGCTGCGCGCGCTGGCGCTGCTGACCCGCCGCAGCGAGGGCGGCACCATCCCTCTCCT